AAGTAAGCCTTAGTCTTAAAAATAGAAAAGTATGGTAGGTTTAATGTGATAAATGATTTCAGGACAAACAATACAGGTTTAAGCCATTTCGTGACCATCGTTTCACTGGACTATATACTTTACCCAAATATATTTTGCGCATGTATTTAAAAGAAGTTATATTCTGAAGTGGCCACAAGAGCCAGTGAAATCATCTGACAGAAATGACCGTGGAAAAAGATGTCCTGTGTCATTATTCTGTCGGGTCTTCATAGAGATGCCTATTAAATTTAGTTCCAACAATTCACTACTTCAGAGTTATGTTGCGTCTTCTACATTTGAGAAATAAGGATGTACTGCTGAAGTTTCCTTGCTCCGTCTTCACCTAAAAGTTTGACTGTTCCAACAGAGCTGGTTATATCCTGCATTTAATTAGGTATAACCTACACCGAATTTCTGAACTTTATCCTGCACTGCCTAGCAAGGGACAAACACAGTCTATTAGTAGCTGTGGATGTTGCCAAACCTTGTAGATTCTCATCATAGAGTTGATGTTAATGAGGGTTATCTATCGTATTTACACTAATCTTAATTTTGAGTTGCAAGTTCTTTTTCTACATTCCGCTGAAGCCATCAGAATCCACCTAGAGAAGCCAAACCTACGAATTCGTGGAATATTTGTGCTTTGCTCATCTTTACAATGAATGTAAATTTCCCCCATCCACTATGTCGTGTATCTAACCTAACCTGTTCTCAAAATTCTGACCCGTTTAATTCTTGACAATTATTTATACCTATTAAGTGTCTAATTAATTATTTTGGTTAATTAAAAACCCCTCGACATGACAAATACATATATATATATGTTACAGTAGAGTCACTGGCAAAGATCTTAATAAAAAATGAAATTTTCTCTGCTCATTTTGGTGTCCTCTAAATGTCTGAATGACGGATTTTGGCTAAATTTGCTGTACAAAATAATTATTCCGTTTTAATCGCTCAGTTTATCTTACCCTGAACGGTTGGTTTCGAAATTCCCAGTACACTTCTGAACTAATGTCTGCCGACTGTGTTGCATGATGGTGTTTTTAACCAGAGTAATATTTCAAATATTAATTAGACCATGTAATAAAAAATTTAGCCTTCGAGTAGGAAATTACAAAGAATAAATAAGTTAATTAATTAACTAGATAGCTGAAACTATGTCAGTCTTCTGTTTTGAAAACTCTTTTTTCTTTTATTTTCAAAAAAATGAAAATATATGAAAAAAGCTGAAAAGATAAATGTAGGATAAACTTTATGTTTGATTTGCCTAATCCAATAAACTTCAAAGCACCGCCAACATTCGAAAACAACTTCAGCGAAAATTGAACAAAATAAATAAAAATTGTTAATTATCCTTATTTCGAGTGAAGATGACCAGCGCAACACACATGCAGTGAAATGAAAATTTAAACTTAAAAATTTTATTTTCAAACGAAAGCTTAACAAAGTAATTGTTTCATTCTTGTGGTTAGAACATGTTTAACCACATATGCATAACATAACAAGCCTGTTTAGACGGTTATCTTCAGCGCAGCGGTGAAGCATAAAATATTTTGATTAAAGATTTCCCTTTATACTAAGCCGATATTTACTATAGAAGTTTATGACATTTTTATTACTGGTTCATATTATTATTTTTGTATCTGCACAGTGCAGTGATGAGTGTCGGTTCGTTTGTACATGTTAATTCAAAGCGAAAGGAGGGAAAAGCCCATTAATTGAAAGAGACAAGAATAAATCAAGACAAACTGAAGGATGTAGACAGTTAAGATGAATGTCCAGGTGACCAACAAGAAGAAAGAGAGATGATTATATGTAAAACGTTTAGTTCATTACTATACTTTCACCACAATTACATCATAAACCATAAGTCAAGATGTTTCAGTTTCCATTTCCTGAATACGTGAGATTCGTTTGATTGCGGTAAGACAATAAAGTGTACTTAACTGTATGTCTAGCAGCATTCTCTGGTAATTTAAATTCCAGTATTTCGAAATGGATAGAATTTGCATATCAGTATTTGAAATTATAACGAAAACATTTTATGCCAACAATTGAGAAGTAATTACATTTTGTAAATGCACATAAAAAAGAACACATGGTTCCCAAAGAGAAGTATGGTCGAATGATAAATGAAAAAGTCTTGTTGCCAGCATCTAGGACTTTCATCCGACAGTATTCAGCACTCCGTCAGAAAATACGTTGCGTGGAAAATTTTAATCCGCTAGATCAATCAAAAATAATTAATATGCAGTAAGTGGCTTGAAACAGTGTGTGTTTCATTACAGAAATAACAGCATTCCGGTAACAACTTCAGTTGTACTGATTATCCGAAAAGATATTAGTTTCATAGGGTTTTAAAATGCACCTTGTTTACAATTAAGAAAAATGAGCTTTCGAAGTAAAAGTCTAAGAGATATTTTAAACTGAAACCAGTAATCATTCCCCTTGCATATCCAAAGATTTTGATATCAATTTACTGAAATGTTTTCTTGTAGGTTTCAAGCAAAAAATGTTACCTAGATTTTGTCTGTTTCACTACCAGTCTCGTACACCTGAACTTCCGAAAAGTTTAGTATATTTATGAAAATGCACATAATTTTCACTTCATTTTTGTTTACGTATTTCTCTCTCTGAGTGGACGAGTTGGTGTTATGAATGATGAGAAAATGAACAACCATATAGTAACCTGCTGTTTGATTATCATTCAAATGTCTCATCTTCTGCAGTAATTTAATGACGAAGTTTGAGGCGAATATCTCCAGGAAACTATTAAGATAAATATTAGCTATCAGGTGAATATCAAAGGGTCTTTTAGGTGTTCTTAAACTTCAGTGCGCTTGCATTATGATTCAGTTATTTGCTCTCTCCTTATACCCGAATTTTAGTTTACTGTAATATAATTCTACTGGCGATTCGTAGACTGAAGGCTGAAATTCCGCTGAGACTCATTCCTCATTCCATCTTCAATCATAACACGTTATGTCACTCAGGGCTGTTTCAGACAGTCTCCACAATAATTCCATTTCTGTCCACCATATTTCTTACTATACTTTTGAAATATATTGTAGTTTGGACCTCTACATCTTTATGTAAGATTTCTGTATCAACCTTGATTATTTGCCCGACTTTTTGTCTCACTGTCATAACATTTCTGAGATTCTGATGTCAGCTACAGTATTTTCAATATATTTAAAGTAGATAAGGAGAATGCGAATTAATGTATCCAAAAATTTAGTTTGTGAAAACATACACATCAGCTGAGTAGTATGATTATCATTATTGAAAACGGCACTAACTTTGATCTTTTCCTACTGACTGATCCATGTCTTGTGGACTAAGAAGATTGGTACGCTGTTTTCAACACTGAGTTGAACGAACTAAAACAAACTGCGATTCATCATTTTTGACTCGAAACATTATCTGAAAAAGTCATCATTTATCATTAGAAGCACATACCAATACAATTTGCACATATAATTATCTAAAAGAGAAGTTGGAATTCATGGCCATTGGATTGGGTCCCAGTGGCTTAATGGTCTAAGAGCACGCCTCATTACCAGTAGGTCCTGATTTTGAACCCTGGTGGTGGGTGCGTACTAATGAGGACTCCCAAAATAGGACGAAACCGGTGTCCATTACTCCCAGGTTTTCCAATGGTTCTCTAACCGAAGTCAACTCATGATGAAATCCTGTAACCACTTATCTAAAAGCTTTACTTTCTCAACTGTAATTTGTCTTCCCAC